CCCCCACCCATTACACCCACAACCCCCTCCCCCTTTTCCCCACACCCCATACAATCCAGGAATGCTCGGCGGCGCCGAGCTGCGGCGCGAATGCAGCAGACTTCCAGTGCGCGGACCACCCGGGTCAGACGTGCGCTGCCCACAGGGGGAGGTCGCGGTCACGCGCGCAACCGGTGGTCTCGCGGCGAGTTTTAACTGCATTGTGCACGCAGTCCCGCCCTTTTTCGCGCTCACCGCGAGCGGCGAGCCCTGCCCAGACTGGCGCGCGCGCCTGGAGGGCTGCTGGCTGCACGCGCTCGAGGCGGCCCAGCCGCACGCTGAGGCAGTCGTCGCGCCTCTCATAGGCGCCGGAGCGCGCGGGGCGCCGGTCGAGCACGCCGCGCGGGTGGCGGCGGGCGCGGCGGCGAGCTGGCTGCGGGCGGCCGCACCGGAGCCCGCAGGCACCCGCGAGCTCTACCTGAGCGTGCAGTCTGAGATACTCTGTGAGATCCTGAGGAGCGAGCTCAGAGCGGCTCTGCAATGACTTATAATCATTTCTACTTTAGAACGTCGGACCCCCGTGGCAGTCACCGCCTTATTCGCACCTAGCCTCCGCCTGTTGCATTGCCACAAACAAAGAACAAAGTTAATCACGATCAGAGCGTGACTTCTCAAAAAAATGATGCGCATGATCAATACAGGTAACATTATGAAAATTAAAAGCATGAACCGCTGCGGTAGATGGCTCCGGCCGTAGCGGTTAAAGTGTGCACCAGATGTCCGAAGATGATAGCCGGATGATATATGCTGCCTTCCGCGCAAATATCGCTGATCTTCAGCACTGGCAGATATGGACCGCATGTGCGTGAGATGTCTTGCGGGGTCCTTTGTAGTTCAACCCCCATGATGGCAACATGATGCGACTTCACGCGATTTTGAGAACTAAATATCACCGGCCAACCATCACCGGCCAGATCGAGCGTGACGAGACTCTAAATCCAACTTAGTTATTAGAGAAGCAGGCTCCAGCTCCGGTCATGGCCAGTCAGTACATGTGTATTCAGATTTTAGAGGTGCCTGACGAGCTGGAGGTGCCCAGCCGGCAGGCCCCCTCGAGAAATTTTTTAGGGTCTATTTTAGCCATTTTTAGACCGTTTAGCTCATATGTAAAGTGCAGCTTAGTCCGCCTTCTTTGTCCCCTTGACGCGGCAACCCGCGCGGATAGCCTTGGTGGAGGGTAGGCGGCAAGGCGTTTGCTCGCCAACGCACGCATTCCCCACCCGAGAGCTCGCGCGCGGCCAGCGACGCGTACGCCAAGGGTCCCGCGTCCGTTAGAAGTGTCCCGGCTGGGGTCCTTGAGCGTCGAGGCGGAACCGCTCGCGGACACTTGCGCTCAATCACACGGCGACCTGCGCGAGCAAAAGCGCTCGCCGCGCGTAAGCCTAAGGCGGGCTGGGCGGCCAAGCAGCAAGCTGCGGTCTGCACGCAGCATGGAGCACACTCTACGTGCCTCGTCGGCCGCGCACGAGTGCGTGGGCAAGTTGTGCGGATGCGTAGAATGGACGCGGAGCGCACGCATGTTCTCCAGCGGACGGCTGATGGTAGCCGCGCGCCTCATTGCATCTAGGTCTCGCCACGAGTGTGAGCGCGGCGAGTGTGAGCGCGGCTCGGGCTGCTGTTGAAGCGGGGAGCTCCGCATTTTAAAAGATGTTTCATAAAAAAAAAATCACGATGGCGGACACCCCCATAACGTGACATGGAAAGGTCGAGAAAGCTAAGATAATGGATAGCGACTATGGAACTAGTGAGAGCATCATTATTATCGAGAGCTTTCGAACGGTACCCCCATCTCCGCCTGGCTCCCAGGGGTGCTCTGAATACACTCCCCCCATAGGCCTACTGGCAGGCCGCGCGCGCTCACTGCACACGCAGACTGCGCGCGCGGCCGCTGGTGCCCGGGGTACACCTTGGTTCAAGCGCACCGGCCGCTCGGCAAACGGGCCCGAGGACATCCCTGCGCACGCGGACGGCGCGTACCGTGACGACAACTGGCGCAGCCACAATGCCGACCGGGGCGCACGCCTCGGCCGCCGTGGCCGCGGCGGACAGTCGAAGGAGTCCGGAGTCCTCAAGGCAAGGGAGTCCGGAGTCTCCCTTGCTCAAGGGCAACACTGTGAAACGAAATGGGGTATACTGCCGTCCTGGATCTCGTGCTGCGACATGTATCCCTGCATTGCAGTTACCGCGCGGGCACGGCTCAGGTACTTATAAATTTTGCCTGCTGCCGCGACCGGGTGGAACCCCCCCCCCACACACACACACA